AGTGTCAGTCTAAAAGTGTCAGTCTAATAGTGCCAGTCTGACTGCCAGCACCATGCCAGTCTCCCAGTGTCAGTCTAAACGTGTCAGTCTCCCAGTGTCAGTCTAATAGTGCCAGTCTGACTGCCAGCACCATGCCAGTCTCCCAGTGTCAGTCTAAAAGTGTCAGTCTCCCAGTGTCAGTCTAATAGTGCCAGTCTGACTGACAGCACTATGCCAGTCTCCCAGTGTCAGTCTCCCAGTGTCAGTCTAATAGTGCCAGTCTGACTGCCAGCACCATGCCAGTCTCCCAGTGTCAGTCTAAAAGTGTCAGTCTCCCAGTGTCAGTCTAATAGTGCCAGTCTGACTGACAGCACTATGCCAGTCTCCCAGTGTCAGTCTCCCAGTGTCAGTCTAATAGTGCCAGTCTGACTGCCAGCACCATGCCAGTCTCCCAGTGTCAGTCTAAAAGTGTCAGTCTCCCAGTGTCAGTCTCCCAGTGTCAGTCTAATAGTGCCAGTCTGACTGCCAGCACCATGCCAGTCTCCCAGTGTTAGTCTAATAGTGCCAGTCAGACTGCCAGTACCATGCTAGTCTCCCAGTGTTAGTCTAATAGTGCCAGTCAGACTGCCAGCACCATGCCAGTCTCCCAGTGTTAGTCTAATATGCCAGTCAGACTGCCAGTACCATGCCAGTCTCCCAGTGTTAGTCTAATAGTGCCAGTCTCCTAGTGTCAGTCTAAGCTGCCAGTCTCTCAGTGTCCGTCTGAGCTGCCAGTCTCTGTACTCCGTGCTTATCTGAGTGCCAGTCTCATCAGTCTAATAGTGCCAGTCTCCTAGTGTCAGTCTAATAATGCCAGTCTCCCAGTGTCAGTCTAATAGTGCCAGTCTCTAAATATCCGTCTAAGCTGCCAGTCTCTGTCCTTCCGTGCCAATCTGAGTACCAGTCACCCAATGCATGCAGTGAGCCTCTCTCATTGGTACGAGAGGAGCCATGTATGAGATGGAAGGGGCTTTCTAAACAATGGGCAGAGATGCTGGCAGAGGTGGAGGAGCATTGCCTCCCTGCGCTGTATGGGCAATGTAAGAGGCACAGGGGGCACATAGCATGGGGCTAGCATGATAATAGGGGCAGTATGGTACTCACCGGTCAGGCTGGCTCAGGGACCCGTTATCCAGAGGGTGGCTTGGGCTGAGGAGAGCCTGCTGCTGGGTGGCAGGAAGATGTCTGGGTCTGCAGCATCATGCAGCCAGGAGGAGGGGGATAATGACATGGAGGAGAAGGAGGAGAGCTGGGGGGCTGGCACAGGGGAGGAGGGGGAAACACATGGAGGAGAAGGAGGAGAGCTGGGGGGCTGGCACTGGGGAGGAGGGCGTAGTGACATGGAGGAGAAGGAGGAGAGCTGGGGGGCTGGCACTGTGTGCTTTCTATGTGTTACTCTGTATGTCTGTCATTCTATCACGTCATTATGTCTTTCTGACATTGTCACACTGTCTGTCATTCTATCACACTGTCATTCTTCCTGTCATACTATCACAATGTCTGTTATATCACTCTGTAATTCTGACTGACTGTCTGTCATATCACAGTGTCATTATGTCTGTTATACTGTCTGTCATTTTATCATATCCATATAACTATAAACACATCAACGCACTATCACTCTAATTGTTTAGTTTTGACACTACATCTTACTGAATTGTGTTTTTATGACAATAATTTTGAGTTGCATATATTCATAATGCTCTTAGAACAGATTATAAAAATACACTTCAGTTTATTTAGCATTAACACTATTTAATTTGTCTCCTACATTGGAATTAGTGTCGGACTCACCAATATTACTGTGAAGCAGTGTTGGGCTTAACACAATATGGCCATATGTTGGAACTGAATCTCCATATTTGTTTGCTGAGATAGGTGATTTTAAGTAGCCTTTTAAATGTAAAACTATTTTATGTGTGCGCAGTTCCGTAATCTGTATTATGCATACATTTTGGACTCTATGGCAGCACCATTACTATAAAACGCATGTCCCGTGTGTGGCTCCAATTCCCTTTTTGTCTTTACTGTCTGTCATTCTATCACACTGTCATTCTGTCTTTTATTCTATTACACTCTATGTATATCACACTGCCATTCTGTCTGTCTGCCATTCTATCACACTGTCATTCTGTCTGTCATTCTATCACACTATCATTCTGTCGGTCTGTATGTCATTCTATCACACTGTCTGTCATTCTATCATTCTGTCATTCTATTACACTGCCTGTGATTCTGTTTATCATTTTGTCAGTTTTTCAATATCTGTCTACATGTATGTCTACCAACAGTCTCCCTGTTTTTCTATCAATCTATCTGTCTTTCTTTGTCTGTCTGTAATTCTGTCTGTCAGCCTGTTTATAATTCTGTCTATATGCCATTCTGTTTGTTCATGCTAATGTCTGTCTCTATATTAGTTTTTCTGTCTGTCTTGGTTTTGTCTATGAATATGTACACTCTGAATGTGATGTGTTTCTGTTTCTTTGGGTCATCCTGGTCGGATAACATTTTATTTTGGAATGCTTTATTCTCTCTCGTTTTTTTTTTTTTTTCCTCTCTCTCTCTCTCTCTCTCTCTCTCTCTCTCTCTCTCTCTCTCTCTCTCTCTCTCTCTCTCTCTCTCTCTCTATATATATATATATATATATACATACATACATACAATGGACAGACAAATACATTGTTTGAAAAGTGTGCATACTTTATAAACCAAGAATGCTGTGTAAGATTTAAATATTATTTAGCTAAATAAACTTGAACATTATATGGAGAGATAGTTTGTATAACAGTAAGAGTTCATGGAACCTTTGTGTGAAGATACATTTTTCCATGAAGGTATGAGGGGGTCCAGGAATAGAACTGGGTCCATGACATATATAGAGTATATAATAGTAGATCTGAAGTATTTTCAGATATAGTACCTTGTGGGAGAAGTGTCCCCAGTTCACTTGCACTAGCATTAATTGGCTTAAAGATTCCAATTTAGGATCCATTTAAAAGGTGTATATTATCTGGGAAAGACCACGTGTAACTCCATCTAGAAGGTAACAGTTCCTCTTCTTTAAATGGGATGAAAACCTCAAGGAGCGTGTCTTGAGCTAATCCACTCTGTCCAAGAGCTTTGGAGAAAAATAAACAAACAAAATAATTCTAATAAACTAATCAAATATAGGCTGTGTTGTGGATATCCGTTCCAATATAGCGATTGTCAGATACTTCCCCAATCTACACATGCATCTAACCTATGGCAAATTGGTGCAGTAATAATAAAAGTGTTGTAAGATTAACTGTATGGTCATGGTCAGATATGCCATGCCATTTAGTAGTCAATGTGACATGAACAGCTTTTCTATTTGAAAGCAGTTGATTGTAAGATGATAGTTTTACAAAAAATGTGCCTATGCCAAAAGTATCTTTAAAAAGGTGCAAGATCTTTAAGTTTTCACTGCGTGTCTTGACCCATTGAGGCACTCAGCACACAGGCAGAACATCGGAATCCTGCCCGATGGCTTCCGATGCTCTGCTACACTGCTGGACACCACGTGAGGCAACCCGGAAGTGATCGGTCTGTGGCATGGCAGTCAAAAGAGGTATTGCAGGATGCCTCGACATCAAGGCATCGCTGTAATACCCTTAGAGCATCTGGAAGCAATCACATGGCCGCCACACCCAAATGGGCCAGTTTTGGAGATTCTCTTATCTCCACAGACGATCTGGAGCACCCTCTGTGAGCACAGGGGAGCCTGTGGTCTGCAACTGCAGCAAGTGAAATCCCGGGTAACTCCACCAAATTCCAGTGCTTCTCCGTGATACCAAGCATTGCCGTGGCATAAAATGGCAACACTCTAACATGCTGGGGCACCAGATTGGGGAGAGAGGCACAAGTGGTCTTTTCCCACCAAATGTGCAAACTGCAAGTTCCATCCACCAGAAGACTAGGGTTCAACAAGGATTCATGCCCCCCTCCCTGGCCAAAGGACTGCACATGCACACACATACAAATTCCATAGGCAGCCACCAAAAACAATACATAGCTTAAGCATTACTCAACATTCACAAACATGACTTCTAAAAATTGGGCTGGCACCTTAAGGGAATTCAAAGTTTTACTTTGGCACAGCGCTACCAAATGGCTGCCTCCAACAGTCACAGGGGATTGTGCAGGGAGAGAATCGTCTTTTTCACAAGATAGCAGGTGCATGATGCTTTCAAAAAAATAATTTCACTCTCTCTAACCCCACTCTCTTATGTCCTTCTTCCACGAGAAGTCACACACAAAAAAATCACAAATAATGTAATTATTGAGAAGAAACATGAATGAAACCAGTCGTGGCCAGGTGTACAGCAATGTAGCCTCAGCATTGGATAGAAGGTCTCATCCATTTCCTGATTTCTACAGATTGCACTGCAGAAAAAGCATATCATGAGACATGAATATTTTATGAGTTACATGTTTCACACAATTACACCCTGTTCCAAATTATTATGCAAATTCTATTTAAGTGTCACAAATATTAAATATTTTGATTTTCAGTTTAACACATGGATGGCATTGTGTCTCAGGGCTCTTTTGATCACCGAAAACAATCTCAGACACCTGTGACAATTTGATTGCCTGCTGAGCCCAATTTAAGGAAAAACTACTAAAGGAGGGTGTTCTACATTATTAAACAGAGCACCATTTTCATGCAATATGGGGAAGAAAAAGGATCTCTCGGCTGCCGAAAAGAGTGAAATAGTTCAATGCCTTGGACTAGGTATGAAAACATTAGATATTCACGAAAACTTAAGCGTGATCATCGCACTATTAAGAGATTTGTGGCTGATTCAGAGCACAGATGGGTTTGTGCAGATAAAGGCACATTGAGGAAGATTTCTACCAGATCAATGCATCGGATCAAGAGAGCAGCTGCTAAAATACCATTACATAGCAGCAAACAGATATTTAAAGCTGCTGGTGCCTCTGCAGTCCCACAGACATCAAGGTGTCCTCCAGAGTCTTGCAACTGTACATAAACCTTCTATTTGGCCACCACTAACCAATGCTCACAAGCAGAAACGGCTGCATTGGGCAGAAAAATACATGAAGACTAATTTTCAAACAGCCCTGTTCACTGATGAGTGCTGTGCAGCCCTGGATGGTCCAGATGGATGGAGTAGTGGCTGGTTGGTGGACGGCCACCCTGTTCCAACAAGGCTGCGACGTCAGCAAGGCGGTGGTGGAGTCATGTTTTGGGCCGGAATCATGGGAAGAGAGCTGGTTGGCCCCTTTAGGGTCCCCGAAGGTGTAAAGATGACCTCTGCAAAGTATGTGGAGTTTCTGACTGACCACTTTCTTCCCTGGTACAGAAGGAAGAACTATGCTTTCCGTAATAAAATCATCTTCATGCATGACAATGCACCATCTCATGCTGCAAAGAATACCTCTGCATCAATGGCTGCTATGGGGATAAAAAGAGAGAAAGTCATGGTGTGGCCTCCATCCTCCCCTGACCTCAATCCTATTGAGAACCTTTGGAGCATCCTCAAGAAAAAGATCTAAGAGGGTGGGAGGCAGTTTACATCCAAACAGCAGCTCTGGGAGGCTATTCTGACATCTTGCAAACAAATTCAAGCAGAAACTGTCCAAAAAATCACAAGTTCAATTGATGCAAGACTTGTGAAGCTGCTATCAAATAAGAGGTCCTATGTTAAAATGTAACGTGACCTGTTAAAATGTTTAAAAAGTTAAAATGTTGTTATAAGTTTGATTGAAATATCTTTTGATTTCAGTAAATATGCTGCAAACACAACAAATGACAATTTTCAGTTCTTTACCATCTATAAAGTGTTTTGAAACTTAGTGTGCGTAATAATTTGAAACAGTGCATTGTAAGTTTTTTATGTTTAAAAAAAATACTTTTATCATTAGGAGGTTTGTTTAATAAATTTTGAATTGTACTCTTAATAGTTGATAACATGAGAATTATGCTGACTGTTATTTACATCAATTATTTAGGTAATTGAGAAAAATATCATTTGCATAATAATTTGGAACAGGGTGTAAATATTAAGACAATTGGAAAAATCACCAATGGAGTGTCTCTTTAATTTGAGTCAACATTAGTCTTCTGTTCCCTAGTCTGAATATTTACAAGCAAATAACAGACAAAAAATATATTTTTGTGACTATATATGCAATATCATTTGATTTATCAATTAATAAGACAAAACAATATGCAGTATAGGGTTTATTTACTAAAGTGAGAATTCAAAGGGAATTTCAAGGTCAAAACTGCAATTTTAAAATATTTCCTAAGTCAGCTGTGCTTCTAGTCCGAATACTCTGGCCTTACATTTAATCCTCATTTTGAATTTGCTTTAAATTTTTACTTTATTAAATAATGCAGGGACTTATAGTACGGTGAGAGCAACTGTTCAGAGTTGCATAGTTAGTTGGCTAACAATTCACTGCTTAGTGACTAAAAGTGTTTCCTTTCTTTCATTATCTCCAGCACAATCCTCTTTAACAGTTTTAATGCAACACTCGGAAACCTGTGCTGTCTACCCTTTGACACATTGAAATACTGCAACAAATGTGCCTTTCAAATATATTTGTTCTTTGTCAGGTGAAGGTAGATTTATTTTCAGTAGGTCTAAGGACATTAAAGGGGGTCCTAGCTGAAAAATATTCAGCATTGAGTTTCGTACTCCTTGTCTGTAGTCAGTCTCTTTTGATTTACATACCGACATTTAACAGGTTAATTCCGGTGAGAATCGTGTCTGTACGAAGACTCAGATGACGCTTCTATATTTCTCATGTCCATATGGGTTACAGGGAATCGTATCCTCTGGGTAACAGGACACTGATGGCAGTAAATGGCTGCTTTTAGCAGGGCAGTGCCTGTGGTCACGCAGCGGTGGGAGACTCGATGTGGGACCCACAACTCATTGATAAGTGGTCAGTTTACTCTGGGAAAGGACAAGATGTGGATGTGTGTTCTATTCACAAGTTCCCCAAAGAAGGAGGTGGAAGCTGCTTTCTGTAACAAGACAAAGGCTTAGTTGTTCAGTGGGAACGCAGATGGGGATCTGTAACAGGTGCTGCCAAAAAATAAAAGCGAAATCCAACTCTCAGCCTGGACTTTGCTGGGTCCAGGAGGCCTGACTTCTACTGTCTCTGTGCATAAAGTCAGTCCCTCTTACAGGGTATTGTGCTGAGACAATATATTAAATATATTCCATTAGTGTTTATTCCAATAGTGGGCAGAGCTTTCTCTATAGCTTGTGCTTTCCCTGTCTCCCCATTCCTTCTAGATTGTAAGCTTGTGAGCCAAGCTCTTTCTATACACTATATGGATAAAAGTATTGGGATACCTGACCATTACACCAACGGGGATTTTTATGACATCACATTCTAAATACATAGACATTGATATGTAGTTTCCCCCTCCCCCCTTTGCAGCTATAACAGCTTCTACTGTTCTGGGAGCTGATTTTGAGAGTTTTTGCCCATTCATCCAGTAGAGCATTTGTGAGAGCAGGCACTGATGTTCGACAAGAAGGGCGGGCCAGTCAATTTCTTCAACACCAAACTTATCTAACCTTATCTAATGTCTTTATGGACCTTGCTTTGTGCACTGCCCACAGTCATGCTGGAGTAAAAAAGGGCCTTCCCCAAACTGTACACACAAAGTTGGAAGCATAGCATTGCTTAAAATGTCTTGGTAACTCTATGGACACCCTGATGGCAGAACTGCGAGGCCGCCCGGAACAGTGCGCCCTGACCTGGTACCTCTGGGCGATATACATCTCTAAGAAGGCCGAGAGGGCAACTCTACAAAACAGACCCCATTAAACAGCCGATCCCAAAATAAAACAGCACAGGACCGGACACACCGGGGGAGAAACCCCTCACCTGCCGCATTCACACACCCCTCCTAGCCTCCCCATACCCACCCCTCCCCCTCCAGGCCCCCCCAACCACTCCAGACACCGGACGGAACTATCCACGACTAAAGCATCCCGAAAAAACTTAGAATGACAGCCCAGACAAACTAGTAAAGATCAGACCGATGGAGCCGCAGAAGGGGCAGACAATATAACGCCATACTATGTAACTAAGACATATGAATGACACTTAAGACTCCATTAGCAGAGTATGACCACGAAACTGAGCCTTTAGAAAGCCAAAGTACGCACAACACGGGACTGCAAAGAGACAAGGGGATCTGAGACTAGCCCCCTCATACAGGTAGCACCAAAGCGCTCAGCCCACTATACAGAAATCTAGACAGACGAACTCACACAACTCACTAGACAATACGCCCTAACATGGCGTTACATGAAGCCAGCATTAGTCATGACAAAAGTGCACAATCCGACCGACCCGTACAATAGTCGCAGGCATCCGCAGGGATACAATGTCTAGGACATGACCTGAACCTCAGCCCCCTAGGGCTTCCTACACAAACTGAACTAACCCACTCTACCATACCCACAAAAATGGTAAACATAACACTTGACCAGAAACCAGTTATCTAACAAGACACATGGTTCACAGCTGTTAAAATGAAAAAGTTACACGCTGTTCAACTTATAAAGTTCACATTAAAATGTTAACTTTGAAATACCCGTTTCAACAATGTTGTATACTTCCATGAAAATGAAAATAAAGATTGTCAAAAAAAAAAAAAGTCTTGGTATGCTGAAACATTACAATGGCACTCGAATTTTTATGAAATATTAAAGGATCACTATAGGGTCAGGAACACAAACGTTAGGTGAATGATAAATCCTGATAGTCACAAGATGTGTCTATCAAAGGATATAAAAGAGGGAATAAGACAAAGAGAAAGATAGGATAAAAGCTCTGAAACTGGAAAGGATAGGATTTCACCAGATCCTATAAGAACTTACAGATAAATGAGCATATAGGTATCCAGGAGCTTTTAACATGTAATAGATAACACTAGATATATAATAGCAAAAAGTGAATATAAATATTGGATGTAAATGTCAATACAAGCAAAAAATGGGTCGCAAGAGTATTCTGAGAATGGACAGCAGCTAAAATAGCATGCCCTTCGGTGGGTCCCCACTCAGAACTCAAGCTGGTTTTAGCTTAACTTGTGCCATTACAGAGAGAACATATCTGAAGCATATCAGACTGGTCCCACCCATACAGGCAGTCCAGATCCGAAATGCCAGCAAGTTCTCTCTGCTCGAGAGATACAGCAACCCCAGACGATCGTTTCAGCCTTGTTAGGCATCATCAGTGAGGCATAGCTGATATCTCCCTAGGCACCATGAGCAAGGGGTCCACGTCTGGATTACCCTTTAAACTAATGGAGAGCAAAAAATGGGTCGCAAGAGTATTCTGAGAACGGACAGCAGCTAAAATAGCATGCCCTTCGGTGGGTCCCCGCTCAGAACTCAAGCTGGTTTTAGCTCAACTTGTGCCATTACAGAGAGAACATATCTGAAGCATATCAGACTGGTCCCACCCATACAGGCAGTCCAGATCCGAAATGCCAGCAAGTTCTCTCTGCACGAGAGATACAGCAACCCCAGACGATCGTTTCAGCCTCGTTAGGCATCATCAGTGAGGCATAGCTGATATCTCTCTTGCGACCCATTTTTGACTCTCCACAAGTTTAAAGGGATAATCCAGACGTGGACCCCTTGCTCACGGTGCCTAGGGAGATATCAGCTATGCCTCACTGATGATGTCTAACAAGGCTGAAACGATCGTCTGTGGTTGCTGTATCTCTCGTGCAGAGAGAACTTGCTGGCATTTCGGATCTGGACTGCCCGTATGGGTGGGACCAGTCTGATATGCTTCAGATATGTTCTCTCTGTAATGGCACAAGATGAGCAAAAATCAGCTTGAGAACTGAGCGGGGACTGACCGAAGGGCAGGCTATTTCAGCTGCTGCCCATTCTCAGTATTCTCTTGCGACCCATTTTTGACTCTAAATGTCAATACAATCTTCAGAAATTCTAAATCTCTTAAAGAAAACAACAAATAAACAGTTTCTTGGTCTCACAGATCAAACATACATAAAAGTCCAAATAATAGACAAGTAAGAGGTTAGTGCAAGCACTAAAATAGTTCTTATATCATATATAGTCTGTGAACATATATCATAAAAAACCTCTGACCTGCTTGGATTAAGTAGGCTGCTAGTCTATGATACTAACACGCCTAGGTTTCGATTTTATCTATTTTCTTTCTTATATGAAAGTAAATTAAATTCATAAGGACCTTATCTGATCCTGTATTGTATATCCAAGCAGGTCAGAGGTTTTTTATGACTCCTGCCTGCTTCCCATGCAGCAATTGCCTGGTCCAACAGTTCTAGCCCCGCCCCTGCCGCACACTATCCCCCACCACAATGCTTTTTTTAAAAAACATTTTTTATCCCGGGTGGAGAATAATGAAATCCTCCACCCAGGCAGCCGGAAATGTGTGAGCTGTGTCGGCCACAGGGCGCCCACTGCTCCAAGGCGCCCTGTGCAGCCGCATAGCTCGCACACCCCTAAGGCCGGCCCTGTTCATGGCAAACCCTTCCCATGAAGCCCACATAGCACAGATTGTGTACTGATATTAATGCCAGTGGCAGTTTAGAACTCTTCAGCTATGGAATCAGCATTGTAGTGCATATCGAGAATAACATGAGTGCGTGAGGTACCCCAATGGCAATCCTCAGCAAACTTGAAACATATGTAACAATGGGGTAGTCCAGAATACATGCACAATTTTATATGTAAGTCGACAGTGTTAAAACGAGAGTAATACAAGTTGGGTAATGATGTTTCAGTAGTTAGACTACGCTTAAAATGGCAGGTCAGGTAGGTTAGCAGGGCGTTTGCGGTGTGGACTATGTACAACAGTAAGGGCTGCTGACAAGTGGCACTGGTATGGTTAAGGAGAGTGAGTATAACAACCTATCCGTCATAACAGGAGGCTCAGGTGCACTGGAAGCTAATTGCAGAGTTGAGTAAGGGCGCTGCACCCACGAGTATTACTAAGTTGAGATTAGCGACACTAACGCCCCAAAGTGGAGTAGTGGTAGGAGAGACTAGGATGTGGGTTATGCTTAAACCAGAGAAATTACCCTTAGTATCGCATTGACGTGTTACGTCAGTAGTTGAGCCTCAGTAAGCGAGCTAAAGCTATTTTACATGTGAGGTGCCCCTATTTGCCTGGGTTTGCACTTGGATCATTTATCTTAAGTGTGAGGTGGCAAATATAGGCTGGAGAGTGCTTATGTGTAGGCAATAAAATAATGCTATACAAATACTTTAAGGTCCCCTGGGGTCTCCCAGGCTCAAGTCCTTCTCTGGGCTAGCCAGCGGAAAGATGGTCATTTTCCGGTGTCGCATTGTGGTGAAGTGTGCCGTGACCAATCTCCCTATCGCGGAGCCAGATATGCAATGCGCTTTGATTTTCAACCGATTGCTCGTTGGGGCTGTGCAGGGCCTTGCCGTGGATGCCCATGTAGTCGCCATTCGATGCGGTGAGTCTGCGGGCGTGGTAGGTGTCGTTTGGGTGAGTCATGTGGTTGGGGTAGAGTCGCCCCTCTAGTAAATGGTGTCCGAGTCGTGCCAGCGTTTGCTTTCGGCGGTGTTCTCCGTTTCGCCTCCCTGTATGGGTGAGTTGTCTGCCTGTCTCTCCGCCACCTTCTCATGGTTTTGGGCCTCCCCAGGGCTGCCGGTTGCCACTGTGTGTCAGGCGGTGCATGTCTTTGTGGGCGGCTTGAGGTGGGCATTTGTTGGGCTCCCTGCTGCATTCTGTACTCAAGCTTCAGCCAGAAGTTTGTGAATATTTGCTCCAAGCTGGTCAGAGGGGCTTGTTGTACTTCCTGGCTGCTCGCAGACCGCGTGGTCGCCTCCATCTTTGGTGAGTCTCTTGACCCTACGATAGGTTCCTCCGTTGTTTCTGACATATCTGGAAAGACTCCCAGTGGTGGACCGGGATCACCCCCACCGTTCCCTAGGGGGGGGTTGCGGGATACCCGTTTGTAGCAATCGGCTCCCAGGCCACTCCAGGCAGGGAGCTCGGCTGCCGCTCCCGTCCAGTGTGCTCCCGGCCACATGCCTGCACGGGTATAGCCTACTGTCTGTCGTCCGTTCACGGGCCGCATCAACGGTTTACCGTGTGGACTGAGTGCCAGTACGTTGCTTGGGGTCAATGTGTGCATTGTCTCGTGGTTTGGAGGTGCCTTTTTAGCCGTTTTAGCAATGATCAGTAGTAAGCTTCAATTAGGCACGTCTTCCCTCCAGGACAGTCAGGCCCCACCAGCGTAGGCGACGTTTATGCCCCATGTGCCTCGGCACTCTGTGACTTTAAGTGGTCTTCTGCTTTGTGGATGAGTTGCTGCTTATTCCGAAACACTTCCACTTTCCAATAATACCACTTCCAGTTGACTGTGGAATATCTAGCAAGGATGACATTTCACCAACTGACTTATGGCAAAGGTGGCATCTTTTCATAGTACCACGTGTGAATTCACTGAGCTCTTCAGTTCAATGCATTTTTTTCCAAAAATGTTTGTAAAAGCCGACTGCATAGCTAGATACTTGATTTTATACACCTGTGACAATGGGTCTGATTAAAGCACCTGAATTCAATAATTAAAAGATGTGCCTCAATACTTTTGTCTATATAATATACCTTGTGTTTCTTCTGCCCCCATTACTTCTAGATTTTAAGATTACAAGCCAAGAGCTCTCTATTCCTTGTGTTTCTTCTGCCCCATTTCCTTTAGAGTGTAAGCTTGCAGGCCAAGCTCTCTCTATATCTTGTGCTCCCCGTCCCCCTTTCACTGTAGATTGTAAGCTTGCAAGCCAAGCTCTCTCCATACCTTGTGTTTCCACTCCCCCTTTCACTCTAGATTGTAAGCTTGCAAGCCAAGCTCTCTCTATACCTTGTTTCCCCTCCCCCTTTCATACTAGATTGTAAGCTTGCAAACCAAGCTCTCTCTATACCTTGTGTTTCCCCTCCCCCTTTCACTCTAGATTGTAAGATTGTAAGCCAAGCTCTCTCTATAACTTAGTTTTTTGTTTATATATATATATATATTCATTTCAGCAGTTTTTTGTTTATTTAAATTGTTTTTGTTAAATTTACAAACTGATTTACAGGCCTGGAATCTTGACCAAGGGTGAAAGGAGCGTTTTCTATAAACAATAAGTGTTTTTAATTAATTAGAAGCAGGCATATCAGGTTACCACTCACAGTTGCTTCATATCTGATAAGAACAATATTTATTAACCCCTTGTAGCCATACCTGCCACGTGTGTTTTTACAGGTCATCTTGTAATGTGTTTCTTCTGGGAAATGTCACATGTTCAATAGTAAACAAAACAGCCATTACTAATATCCAACTATCAGTGATTGACGGTGGACGTAAATAGACAATTTAAGCCTTGCAAACATGAGACACAGCACCCACGGCACTGCACTGAAATAAAAAATAAAATAAAAGATTTATGGAATCTTGTAATAAATATTCTCTTTTTAAATGGGAAGAAAACTGTCCATTCCGCAGCGATATATTTATTTGTGATAAAATAAAAGATTGAAGCTTTCAAGTTTAGCTAGTCTTTGTTAACCCTGAGATCTGTTCTGCAGAGGTTCCAGTAATGACAGAAGGAATCAGTCTGCTGTATGGCTAGAGACTTGCACAGTGTACAGACACCTTGTTACTGTGGACAGACATTGGACAGAAATGTTGGCTGAAGTCTAATTCCCTTCTGCCAACAAGTGTACGAAGTCAGGCTGCAGGCCTTATCTCTGTGAGAATTAAGGACAGATAAATAACCAGTTCCATCCTCCCTGCCAAGGCCCAATTTATACGCCTCTAATTCCTTAGCCACCAAAAAGCACAGTTAGTATGCTGGTGAAAAGAGGCCCCAATCTGACAGCAGCATAATGAACGGAACCAAATATTGCAGATACAATTACCAGATTTTACTATTAACATGATGTAAAGTCATGATATTATTAATGATACGGAGGCGAGTATTATGCATTCTCTTTCTTTATTATACTCCCAGCAGCAAGAAAAAAGGGAAGTATTGTTACTGGAGGAATAACAGGAACAAACCGCAGAAGCCACACATAGAGATATGGACACAAGTCTTCAGAAAGTAACGGGTCTTTTATTTACACACCGATCGGGTCTCACAAAAGGTATGAGCCCAGAGCATAGTTTGCACAGGCTATTTATTAACAATAACTCCACTCACACATACCCTTAGACCAATCAGTGAACAGGATATTCAGGATCACCTAATATGGGCAGACCGTATGACTCCTTTTAAGGACAAAGGAATGTGACTACAGTTGATGCACATGCTCAGTACATTGATGACAGTATCTTAGCTACATGTAACTAACTAACAGATACAACAAACACCTGTACTTGTATATGCCACTTGGAGATTTCAGGCCTACTAAATTTTGAACCATGTTAAAATCCCATAACAGTATGAGAGAATCATAGAAAAAAGAAAACCATAACAATAGCCTGGTAACAGTAGCACCAATCAGCATCCAGTATAATCCATATAGGTTCAGTGCTCCATGCCTCCTCCTCTTTCTGCATAGATCCCGAAGACCATTAGAGCAAATCCCAAGGTATTCCAACCAGAAATACGAATTCACGAACCAAAACCATAACTGGAACATTAATCTAGAACAGTTTCAACCGCCAACTCTCAAGTTGTATTCAAGCTAAAAGAGAAGAAAAATATGTTAATATCGAAATCTCGTGACTGCTATTCCGCAATTAACAACTCGTCAACCATGTTAATCAATCGATGTAAATATATCAAGTTCGTCAACCATGTTGCTAAATCAAAATAAGTATCATATAAGTCATATTTATTGAATACTTACTCATCTGTGTCATGAATGATCTTGTACCTATCATATTAAGTCATCCTAAGGGCCCCATGTCTGGGTTGCAACTTAATCACCACCCTGGGTAGGGTGGGTGGGAATAATACTCGCCTCCGTGTCATTAATAAAATCATGACTTTACGTTATATTATTAGTAAAATCTGGTAATTTTATTAGAGACACGGAGGCTCCTATTATGCTATTTTAAAGCTGAGCAATCACTGAACTGGAAATGTGTTGCACTGGGCGAAAATAGAAATTAAGAAATGTAGACTCATTCGACCAGTCGGCTGCCCATAGGATATCCTCCAATCTACAACCTATCATGGAAGCTTTAGAGGCCATAGCCCCGTGAATGGAGTAAGAGGAAAAAATTGAGGTGTCTATGCCTGCCATTGAGAGCAACCATTTGACCCAACGAGCTAAAGTAGGAGTAGATACTGGTAGGTGAGGTACTTTGAATGAGATGAATAATGGATGGATTTGCTCTGGACGGAGCGAGGCCGTACGATGCTCGTATTCCTTCAGACGTAACACAGGGCACAAATTTGGGTTGTCCGGAAATGACGGGTAGAAAACTTCCTTAGTCAAAGATTTTGTCCTACTTGAAATATTAAAGGATACTCCGTTTGGGACAAAAACGCGTGCATTTCAGTCTAGCGCTCTGACATCAGCAACCCGTTAACATGAAAGTAAACAAAACAAAACAGCATCTACAGCTTGGCCGACAATTGCTTTAGAGAAAGTTCCTGGTTCAATGGCCAAATGAAAAATCATATTGACATCCCAAAAGGAAGAATACCGAGTTTGAGGGGGTCGAGTAAGATGGATGCCTTTGAGTAAACGACAGATAAGAGCATGTTTGCTTATTGCGGTACCATCCAAACCCATATGTTTTGCCGATATGGCTGATCTGTCCAGATTTATAGTACGAAAGACTTTTCCTTCCTCAAAGAGTAGAGTCAGAAATTGTAGGATTGCTTTTGTAGGACAAAAATACCAAAAAAGGCAATCTACAACACAAAAATAATAGAGACGGACATAGGGCAATAATGCTGCAAAATGTGGGTTATAAATATAAATGATCACACTCACAAACCCAATTTGATTGAAGGCATATCATGGATAACGATGTATTAACTTCAGGACTTTTGGAACATCAATAACATGCATAGGAAGAAAAAGAAAATAATAGTGCAGAGTATCTTAATAAAATAACACACTTTATTATAAGATACACTTACAAAATAGAAGTGTCAAACAGGCACATCAAACTCAGTTGGAGACGTATCCTAAACTCAGCGTCCAAAGGAGCAGGAAAGCCAGATGGAAAATAAATAAATACATAAAAATAAAATGAAAAACAAATACTCTGTACACTAAAAAGCTTTTGTAGGAGCTGATATGTGATCCATTGACTGTCCCACGCACCAATCAGTCCACTTTCTCCAAGCCAACCCAGGTACCTGGTGCCCACGACTCTGCCAAGAGACTGAGTGTCGTCTGCAAAACCTCCTCAAGATTCCATGATCTCCTGAAATGACCCATGCCATCAGCTGAAGTAGACCCTGGTTGGCCAGTTCGTGACTCATTCCCTCTGGGTTAGTCAAGAGGTAGGGAATGTCCGGCAACAGCTGTGGGAAATCTATCGATATTTCCAATAACTGAGGAAACCAAGGTTGTGACCTCCATAACTGGGTTACCAGCGCCAGCGTCCCCCTGGAATATCGAAGGACCGCTACGGTCCGAGAAATGAGGTTGAAAGGGGGAAAAGCGGAGTTCCTGCCCTTGGTCCAGTCCTGTAGGAATGCATCTGTCGCTAGAGCATCTGGATCTGGTCTCCAACTGAAGAAACGAGGAAGCTGGGTGTTCAGACGAGACGTGAAGAGGTCTATATTGAAAGGTCCCCAGAGTCGAGAGAGGAGCTGGAAAATCATTTGGTGGAGATGCCAATCCCCTGCGCCCTGAAGGTATCGGGAGTTCCAATCCGCCATCGTATTGTCCTGCCCCGGAATGTATTCTGCTATTACCGAAATGCTGTGTTCCAGGCAATAGTGCCAAAAATCTCAAGCCATCAGCGCGAGAACCTTCAATTTCGTCCCTCCTAGGTGGTTGATATAACGCACCGCTGAGATGTTGTCCATCTTGATTAAGATCAAGCATGAAATGCCTGTGGGGGTCATACTGTGAATTGCAAAGGATGCTGCTTATAGTTCTAGGCAGTTGATGTGTAACAGTGATTCTTCGTTTGACCATCTGCCACCGGTGGAAACTGACCCGCAATGCGCGCCCCAGCCGTGTAAGCTGGCGTCCAACTCTATGACCAGATCCGGCGTCGATCCAAATATCGCCCGTCTATTCCATGCCTCCATGTGGGCTAGCCACCAGTCCAGCTCTTCCCTGGAGTCTTCGTCCAGTACAACGCAGGTTTCGTATGAGTGACCGGAGCGTAGGTATGAGGCTTTGAGCCTTTATAGGGCACAGTAGTGTAACGGTCCCGGTTAGATCGCCTGTATGGATGATGCCAACAGCCCTATGATCCTCCCAAGCTGTCGGAGATAAATGGTCGTACGATGCATAAATCATTTTGTCTTTGGGTAGACACAATCTCTGTTGTCCACTTGGAAACCAAGAAATTCCATGCATCTGGAGGGTTGTAGAATTGATTTCTCCCAATTCACTAAGAATTGTTTTGGAGAAGGTGGGGCGTTCAGGATGGGTGAATGCATAGTTGGGATTGAGACTGGGACAGAAGAAGGATGTCGTCTAGATAAATTATTAATCTGACCCCTCGTGTGCGCAGGAAGGCAATCACTGGCTCTCAATTCACTAAGAATCCTAAGTTTTGGAGAAGGTGGGTCGTCCAGGATGGGTGAATGTGTAGTTGGGATTGAGACTGGGACAGAAGAAGGATGTCGTCTAGATAAATCATTAATCTGACCCCTCGTGTGCGCAGTAAGGCAATCACTGGCTTCAGCACTTATGGAGCCGAGGATAGGCCAAATGGCAGAGGATAGGCCAAGTGGCAGACATACAACCCTCCATTTCGTTCCCTGCCACTGAAACTGCAGTAGGTTCTGATGCGCTTCTGCAATAGGGATTGTCAGGTAAGCGTCCCGTAAATCTATTTTGACCATCCAATCTGATGGTATGAGGAGGTCCCGAAAGCAATGAATACCCTCCATTTTGAAATGGTGGTACTGGACAAACACATTTAGAGGTCGGAGATTTATTACTGGGCTTACCCCGCCCCCTTTCTTGAGGACCAGAAACAGGTTGCTCACGAACCCTTCTGTGTCCCATGGGATTTGTTGGATAGCATTTTTTGACGCTAACTCTGTGATCTCTGCTGAGATCATCGTGTGGTGTTGGTTGGTCATTATTAGTTCTCGAGGGAACTGCGTCTGAACCGGGTGGGAGGTTAACTCCAATAGGTACCCTTGTATCATATTTAATACCCAAACATCTGCGGTTAAATTTTCCAAGCATGATGAAACAATGCTAGTCTGCCACCCACTTTTACATGGGGAAAAAGGAGATACTCGGAACTCACCATAAGGTCGTCTGCCTGAAACAGACCCCCGTGGTCCGCGGGAATTTCAGGGCAGTCCTCGAGATGGCCAGAATGGGGTATAGTGTCACTCCAGTACCGGTCTCTGGTTATTAAAGGAGCCTCTGCCAGCTCTAGTTGAGCCTCGAAATCCACGGCTGGGTAGACGGCTCCTTCCTCTGCCGTCCCCTCTTAAGAGATGTCTGAGCTTTATCAATTGCTGTAAATGTCTTTACGTACAGCCCAAGATCTTTAATAAAGGATTCACCAAAAAGTAAGCCTTTAGCAGCTGGGCCTGGCTCGTTGGTCGCCATACTGGCCAGTTTGGGCTCTATTTTCAGGAGAATCGCCTTGCGGCGTTCGGTAGCCATAGCCGTATTGGCGTTACCCACCATGCAGACTAATCTCTGCAACCTACTTTGAAATCAAATTTGCTTTTGCACGATTGGGCGGACTCCACTAGCTCATACAGTTTAGATATGGGTCCAAAAGTATCAAGGAACTTGTCTTGGCAGTTCCGGAGGGAAAAGTCTAAGCCCTTCCTTGGTTTCCAACCAGACTTGGTCAAGAATTGGACCAACTGAGGGTCCACGTCAGGTGTCTTTTCCACCGAGTCTGGAAGGATGGGTCGTGGGCATTCCGCCCGTAACTTATTGCGCCCTTCTTTAGATAAAGGCTTTCGCACACAAAGTGCGAGGTACTTTGCGATGTGTGCAGGCGGCTCCCATTCTGCCGAGCGAGGGTGACAGAGGTCATCTGGGTCAAATAAAGGGTTACCCAGCGGGTCCCGTAAATTGTCGCCCTCGCCGAGTCAGCAGGCTCAGCACCTTGAGCCATAATCTTTTAGGTCACAACGCCTGTTTTTATGTCAGACCCGGAATCTGAAAATTCCACACTGTAGATGTCCATATAGGAGTCATCATACTCCTCCTCCAAACTCCGTTCCGAATCGGATGAATCCCCATGGGCACGTGCCCGTTTCCAAGCTCTGGTTGATTTTGCCGGGCCAGGGGCTCTAGTGCCCGGTGGTATCGCGCCATCTTTGACAGCCTGAGGCATGTCATTCAATGCAAGCTGAACCTGGAGGGGAGGCCACATGTCTGCTCTTTGCCAAAGCCTTACGTCCCGGTTGTACCATGTTAGTGGGTCCCGAGTTGCGTGTATTCTGCATGCCACTAGTCTGTGTCTGTATCAATGCCTCTGTTATAGACTGAGTGATAGAGGATGACATGACCCCCATCACAGAGGTTAAAGCTCTGTTAATGGACTGTGCCATGGTAGAGTCTAGGAGGGATTGAAATTCCTCCGATGCCATGAGGCTGGCGTCACCTTTACCTCCCTTGTTAAGGGGGGAAACACCTGGTGTGGGGCCCATAGACCCTCAAGGTCTCTCTGATCCTGCATTTAGCAGATAAAATTTTACAGGGAATGTATATACCCAAGTCCAACTAGTGACAAGATATTGGGCCCAGTAAAATAGTCTTATTAATATTGGCTAGGTGCTTAAGGGTAAAACAGATTTTTAGTAGCCTGTAAAGGAAAGAACTAACTAATGAGAGAGAAAACAGAAAAGGGTGTCAAGATAGATTAATCCTCCACACCACACTTACAGTTTGGCAGCAATAACCACAAAAACAGCAATGATATCCCAGTCTGGGTCTTAGGCAGTGGCGTCTCTAGGATTCATTTTTCGGGGGGGCACATGGAGGGCCAGTGACAAAAGTAGGGGGGCACATTTAACCCCGCCCTCGCCGCAGTTTGACCCCGCCCTGTCACATGTTAAGCCATGCCCCCGACACAATGTGTTTTGTTTTTTAAATAATACCTGGTGGAGGAATCATGATTTTCCACCAGGGATTATTAAAAAAACAAACACATTATCCTTGATACAGTGCCATAGTTGCCAACATTTGAAAAAAAATTTCCAAGGACATTTTGCAGCACAGCTATCAATTACTGTCTGGGTATAATATCCCTGGACAGTCAGTGCTCTCTGTATAATACAGGGTTGTGTGTATAATAAATTGGGACACTCAGTGCTCCCTGTATAGTGCTGCTCTCTGTATAATCCCAAGACAGAGAGCAGCACTATACAGGAAGCACTGACTATCCCGGGATATTTTATACACACAGATCTGTATTATACAGATAGCTGAGCATATACCCCAATCTCTAGACTACTAGTACCTGTCAACAGCAGCTCCCAGACGCGTGTAACAGGGCTAAAGTGTGCGGCAGCTCACACAGATTATTCAGCGGTAAAGTGCACTCGCTGGCAGAGCCAAACTGGGAATCCCTGGGAATCCAAAGCAGCCCTGGAAAAAAAACGTATGCCATTCCTACAAGTCAAAATATATATATATATATATATATATATATATATATATAGTACAGTAAGCACACAAGCTCACTGACATGCGCAAACAGGCTTACTGACAGACAAAACTCTCTGACTCACACACAAGCTTACTACAGACACTCACTTGTATAAACAGAAGGCTCACTACAAAGAAGTTCAGGGACACACACACAAGCTCACTAAAGACAAGCTCACTGACACACACATGCTCACTAAATAGAAGCTCACTGACACACACAAGCAGTACCATTTTAACAGAGTTAAGGGCCCCTGGGCAAAGCAATACACTGGGGCCCTTCCTACACAACAACTCACAGGAATTTTAATTATTGATAGACTGCGGAGTCCATACACACACACAGACTGCTGAGTCCATACACACACACAGACTGCGGAGTCCATACACACACACACAGACTGCGGAGTCCATACACACACACAGACTGCGGAGTCCATACACACACACAGACTGCTGAGTCCATACACACACACACACACACACACAGATTGCTGAGTCCATACACACACACACAGACTTGCTGAGTCCATACACACACACACTCTGCCATGACACACTCTGCTGAGTCCATACACAAACAGACTGCTGAGTCCATTACACACACAGAGACTCCTGCTGAGTCGTCCACCCACACTCTGCTGAATTCATACACACACACACACTCTGCTGAGTCCATACACACACATAGACTGCTGAGTCCATACACACACACAGACTGCTGAGTCCATACACACACACACAGACTGCTGAGTCCATACACACACACAGACTCTGTTGAGTCCGTACACACACAGACTACTGAGTCCGTACACACACACAGACTCTGCTGAGTCCGTACACACACACAGACTCTGCTGAGTCCGTACACACACACAGACTCTGTTGAGTCCGTACACACACACAGACTCTGCTGAGTTCGTACACACACACAGACACTGCTGAGTCCGTAAACACACACACATACTCTGCTGAGTCCGTACACACACACAGACTCTGCTGAGTCCGTACACACACACAGACTCTGCTGAGTCCGTACACACACACAGACTCTGCTGAGTCTGTACACACACACACAGACACTGCTGAGTCCGTAGACACACACAGACTCTGCTGAGTCCGTACACACACACAGACTCTGTGGAGTCCGTACACACACACACAAACAGACTCTGCTGAGTCCGTACACACACAGACTGCTGA